CCCAAGCTCGTTGCCCCCACCCCCAAAGAAGAAAACGCTGCTGGATCCCARTCCGCGCTTGGCTGCAACGCGTCACGTCAACAGGCACTGAACAATAATTGGGCGTCGTAGTTTGAGACCGACTGACGTGCCGACGGGCATGACAGCAATCAACACCCTTCAAACTAATCAAAAAAGTCGACTCGTGCAATGGAAACCGCATGCACAAACGAGCCGTCCTCTGTAAACAACCTGCCCACCACCACCACACAGCAGCATGCAGTACGGGGGCAACGCCGACGATCCAGAAGCACACATGAGGCATTCACGTGGACGTTGGACATGTGCGGCCCATCGACTTCATGATCGTTCGTGGATCGCTTTAGCAATCTCCATAAGGGCGTCGCACATCAACAGGTTCGCCTGGTCCGTCTTCACGTAGTGCTCCTTCTGCATTTCTAGCTCTCGCTCGAGAATGTCGCATTGCCTAGTCAGAATTGAGCACTGCCTCTGGCTCGCGCTGTCCACCGTCGTCGTCATCAGACTCCCGTGGTCCTTCATGACGTCCGCAATCGTGTCGAAGGTCTGTTGTCTCACATTCTTCCTTTTGCCGCACCCGCCCACAGCACCGCCGCTGAAACTTGAATTCCGCATCGATCCTTGATCGTCGTCCTGCCCATCCCCGCATCCGTCACTACCGCTTGATTCGTTCCGACCTCCAGTCCGGCCTGGTAGTTGAACACCTCCCGCCGCACTCGTGTCTGCCAGATTCGTGGGGTGTATAGTGTGATCGCCCTTGGACATGGCCATCATCTCCGAATACACACGCTCGTCCATCCGAAAATCGAACCCCCGCTCCTTTCTCTCCCGCGGTGCCAGTGAGAAGAAATCAGGCTTCCCCGATTCTCCCATGAACTTGTGCACAATTTTGAACTGCATGTACAGGTTGTCCATTTTTTTCCCGCAGTCATCGGCCTTTCTAGTCGTCACCCCCATCTGCACGAGCCTGCTCTCGATGTCGGCCCACTTCCATGTCTTCGTCTTCATCCTTCCCATGTTGTGGCCGAGACCAGCAAGATGCAAATCCTGGTCTCTTTTAGCTCTGTCAAGAGCAATCATGTGTTCCACGGTCCAAAAATCCCTGCTTTTCGCTCCGTCGCCTGCCGATGCATCTCCCACAGTCTTCTTGCCTCTCCGCCCTGCGCGCAGCTCGCTGGACTTGCTCGTCGCCCTCGGCCCTCCCTGTTTCTTCCCCAGCGGACAAATCTCCATCTCCCCGTCGTCGTCGTCGTCGTTGTCGTTTCCCCCGTTGCCTGCCGACAAATCTTCACCACCCGCACCGTCGCAATCGCCGGGTGTGTCGTCCGCCCGTACATTAATCTTCACCACCCCTCTCTTTATGGCGGGCGTGCTAGATTGTCGCGATTGTCGTCGGTAATCATCCCAAACCTCTTGCCCCGCGACCTCCGCAGCGTAGCCGTCAGCGCCATCCCCTCCTCGGTGGACTGCGCCGCCTGCCGTTGTTGATCCACCTGTCCTCGTCCCCTCCGCACGAACACCTGCTGTGCCCACTGCCGTCCGCCCTCGCGAAACGAGTCCACGTTCGTCGCCCGACTGACCAGAACCCCGACCGCAGGTGTCAGAAAGGCCACACGGCCCCACCGAAGGCGCTGTGTGGTTGCTGGCAGAACCCGGGTTCACGAGAACGGTGTGCGTGACGTCCTGGCCACTCCCAGACCTCAAACCGAAGCTGAGATCTACGAGCCCTCCGTCATAACCAACCGGGGTCCGCCCCTCCAGCAGATCAGTGTACGTCGGCGTCGAGGGCTGTCTGTACAACCGGCTCCCCATCCAATCCTGCGTCGAACCGCTGCCCAGAGGAACCGTTGATGATCGGGGCTCGTCGTTGTCGTCGTCACTCGGAGGCAATGGAATCTCGTGGGACGGCAGATGGCTGTACAGCGTCGGGTCGTACGGGCGCCTGCCGCCTTCCGCAGAGCTGCAACGCTGACGTGACAACCCGCCAGCCCCTACGGACATCGTCCTCTTCGTCTGCACCTTCTCCATCTTCCCGGTCTCCTTCGTCTTTCCTCCCAGGGACGCGACCGAGGATGCAGATATGAAAGATGACAACGGCAAGCAGCAGTACAACGGCAAGCCGCATTAAAGGCAGCCTGCGGCACATGTCAGCCATGAAGGAGAGGGGACACACTTGGCTGTCGCGATCGCGGCGCCCAGAGACACACGTTGCACGAGGGAAGACGACAACATACGAAATTGCTGCAGCCACCGCGCGGGGGTGGACGGTTAAAGAAATTCGTGTTTCCGACCGTTGGGCAGCCTGCAGGAACGCCATGACACCTCCACGACCCGCCCGAAAACGTCCGATGCCCGGCACGGCACCGCCGTGGGGCCGCCCGACGAACCGACAGGGACGTACCACCAATCCCCGACAACGGTAAAAAGACGAGGCCGTTCGTGGACGTCTTGGACGTTGGCGCCTCGCGATGTCCGTCTTCAACACGGAGGACCAGCACTGGACCACCTCCGACCACCAATTTCCCTTTTGGACTCGCCGCCGACACCCCGATTATTGCGGATCCTCGGACTCCGAGGGACCTCGCGAGGTCCCTTGGAGCCCGAGGACGATCTGGCTGGAAAATCCTCGGAGCCCGAGGATTTGTCCTCGGAGTGTTTTCACATTTCGGTTTCGAAAATCGGCTCCGAGGACAGGTGGAACGAAGACGAAATCCTTGAAATCACGTCCCCGAGGTGTGTCGAACGATGCCCTAAGTGGTAAACAATCACCACACTGGCGGCATGGCGCCCCCATAGCAAACAAGGCGCCCAAAGGGAAACGGAAAAAGGGCGCGCCTGAAAGCTCATACTGGCGGCATGGTGGTCACAGAGCAAAGAAGGCACCAAAAAAACGCAAAAAAGAAGCGCGGTCACAGTGGCGGCATGGCGGCTACGGTCCCATGGCGCCAGAGCATCGAGACAGAAAAAAAAAAAGAAAAAAAAAATCGAGGAAAGCGCGGGGCGTCAGCAGACAGACTGGCGGCCTGGCTGCAATGTTCCCAGAGGCGACAGAGCAGAAACGCAGAGCTGCAGTCTCCTTCCCTCGAATAGAACGTACTGTCGTCATGCCTGTATCTGGTCAAGCTTTCAGTATCTAGAGATAGACTAGAATGACCATACTATTCGGGGGGACATGGTAATGCTGCTGCAGTGGGACACGGGCCCGCCGCAAGGTCCCACCTCCCGGGGGCCAAGTCCCACTAGTAGCAGCGTTAAGTTTCTTTTGAAAAAGCTAATAACTAGCAGCGTTGAGTTTCCTCAACGCTCGAATCTGGACGTGTTTGTGGAGATGTGCGTTTGAGGAAAGTCAACGCGATTTCTGCACAAGCTCCTCAAACACGTCCAGATTCAGGCGTTGAGGAAACTCAACGCTGCTAGTGGGACTTGGCCCCGGGATTATTCACATGTGACCGTCCATCTTCGTAATCGACGGTTAGAAATGAATCCGGGCTGGTGGGACCTGGCCCCCAGATACATCAGAAACACAGTCGTC